ATTTCAGTCAATTGGGCGGTAGCCAGTCCCAATATTCACTGCATTTCCAAAAATATTCACTGCACTTCCGAAAATGGTTTCAAAGGATTAAAATATGTCGCCTTAAATGTTGTTTGGAAATATGTACATGCATTCCAGAAAATATTTGCAACACATTCAGAATGTTCTGCCTTCCAAGCACAAAGATGATAATCAAGTTTATGTTAAGTTTCAAACCTTTTATCTTTTTGACAAGGAACACCACTGAAGTAAATATAATAATTCACGAATGAACCACTAAAGTAAATTACATACAGTACCCAACAAAACTTATATCCTAAAAAAACATAATATTACACCAATGGTCGTGTACTTGTAAAACATATAACAAACAACAACAAAAATTAAATAGAGCAAGATGGGGCAAATGAAACAATTTATGACAAAATTAAAACTATGTAACTGAAAATATAAGAAAATAAAAAATGATCTGTCAAGAATTTATAACGTTTTAATTTGTAAATAATAAAAATAAAAATTGATCAATTTTATAAAGACGAGCAGTCATAGCAAAAAGAAGAAGAAGGAAACCAATAACTTGGCCTCTAACTGCTTGAAATATACCAAACCCATGAATTTACACATATCATGAGCCAACTTAGAAGGAAAGTTACAAGAAGAATCGGGTGTACAATCGTGCTGCAATGCTTGAATTTCTACAGCACATCCTTATACATTTTATACCAATTTTGTAAAATAGCATTGTGTTCTCAAGTAAATTAGAATACACACTTACTTTCTTGGGTTTTGATGTCACAGTGTTGGGTCCATTGTTTACTTTTGCAAAGAGAGAAACACAATTTTTCCTTTTTGATTTGTTACCATATTTCACTTTAATTTTGGAAAACAACTCGATTATAGTAATTTATCTAAAAAAAGAGCTCAAAGCAACAAGAAAAAACACAAACATCAAAGATTCCTGATAAACCTAAAATATTACTGCCTCCAGCCCATAATATACGAGTGTTTTAGACACTAGTGTAGTGTCAAAACGCTCTTATATTATGGGACGGAGGGAGTATCAAAGAACTATAAAATCATCACCTCTATCTCCAGCTTTTGCATTGCAATTGAAAGATCGAGGATGTCGCCTAGAGGGAGGGGGGGTGAATAGGCGCTTTAAAATAATTACGGTTTAGGCTTGAACAAATGCGGAATAAACCTAGCGGTTAATTTGTCAAGCACAAAATCTAAAACAACTAGGCTCACCTATGTGCACCAACAACTTATGCTAAGCAAGATAAGCAACTATGTGATAGCAAGATATATGACAAAAAACAATATGGCTATCACAAAGTAAAATGCATAAGTAAAGGGCTCGGGTAAGAGATAACCGAGGCACGCGGAGACGACGATGTATCCCGAAGTTCACACCCTTTCGGATGCTAATCTCCGTTTGGAGCGGTGTGGAGGCACAATGCTCCCCAAGAAGCCACGAGGGCCACCGTAATCTCCTCACGCCCTCGCACAATGCAATATGCCGTGATTCCACTAAGGGACCCTTGAGGGCGGTCACCGAACTTGTACAAATGGCAACCCTTGGGGGCGGTCACCGAACCCGTACACTTTGGCAACCCTTGGGGGCGGTTACCGGAACCCGTCAAATTGCTCGGGGCGATCTCCACAACCTAATTGGAGACCCCGACGCTTGCCCGGAGCTTTACACCACAATGATTGAGCTCCGAACACCACCAACCGTCTAGGGCGCCCAAGCACCCAAGAGGAACAAGCTCAAGGGTACCAAGCACCCAAGAGTAATAAGCTTCTCAACTTGAAACTTTCACGTATCACCGTGGAGAACTCAAACCGATGCACCAAATGCAATGGCAAGGGCACACGGAGTGCCCAAGTCCTTCTCTCTCAAATCCCACCGAAGCAACTAATGCTAGGGAGGAAGATGAGAGGAAGAACAAGAAGGAGAACACCAAGAACTCCAAGATCTAGATCCAAGGGGTTCCCCTCACATAGAGGAGAAAGTGATTGGTGGAAATGTGGATCTAGATCTTCTCTCTCTTTTCCCTCAAAAACTAGCAAGAATCCATGGAGGGATTGAGAGTTAGCAAGCTAGAAGAAGGTCAACAATGGGGGAAGAACACGAGCTCAAGGGATAAGGTTCATTGGGGAAGAAGACCCCCTTTTATAGGAGGGGGAAAATCCAACCATTATGTGCTCAGCCCGCACACGAGCGGTACTACCGCTCGGGCGGAAGAAGCTGGGAAAAGGAGCAACAAAACATGAACCTTGGGGCGGTAGTACCGCTTATAAGCGGTACTACCGCTCATCCCAGCGGTACTATCGCTGGAGGAGCAGAACACGGGACCAAATGAGGCAGGGCAGAGCAGAGTACGATGACAGTAAAGCAGTAGCGGTACTACCGCCCGACCGGAGCGGTACTACCGCTTATAGGCGGTACTACCGCCCAAACGGAGCGGTACTACCGCTTATAGGCAGAACTGTCGTGCCTTACTGCCGTGCCTTACTGCCGTGCCTTACTGCCGTGCAACTACTGCTAAACCCGACATGAAAAGTGCAAGACCCAAAATCGAGGCGGTAGTAGAGCGGTACTGGAGCGGTACTACCGCTTGACGCTACAAGCGGTACTACCGCTGCCACCGCGGTACTACCGCAGGGAGAAAAACAGAACTGCCATAACTTCTTCATATGAGCTCCGAATTGAGCAAACTCAAGCTTGTTGGATACAAGACAACGAGTAGCATCAAAACAGAGAAGATAAACCTCCAACAGAGAAGAACCGACAGAACCTCCAACATCGAAAACATCATAGAAGATGCATGCGAACTCCGTTTTCGATGAACTCGAGCTTGTCATCAAGATGACCATAAGCTCCAAAACTCACAAAAAGAACCAAACAAGAACCAAGAAAGATGATGCAATGATGCAATGGTTTGAGCTCTCTACGAATGATATGATCAAGTTACTCATCGAGAGCCCCCCTTGATAGTACGGCAAACGATCCTAAAACTCGGTCTCCCAACTACCATCATGAGACCGGTAAAATAGAAAACCTATCAAGGGCAAACCTTTGCCTTGCACATGGTCCACTTGAGCTAGATGATGACGATCTTGACTCCCTCAAGTTGGACCACCTTTCTTGATTGTGTTGGCTCGATGAAGACTAGTTGATTGCTCCCCCATACTCCACTATGGGTGAGCCACTCTTCCGCACATCTTCACAAGTCCATTGTCACCACAATGGACGGCAAGCTTCAAGCATTTGATCTCTTCGTGATGCTTCACTTGAACTTGCACACCACAACCTAACCCCACAAAGAACTCTCACGAAGATCATGGGTTAGTACGCAAAGCGTAATTGACAGTGCTTACCATACCATGGGATCGCTTGATCCCTCTCGGTACATCTTCTACGTTTTGTGTGTTGATCAACTTGATTCACTCTTTGACTTAGTCTTGATCAACCTCTCACATGACCAAACTTTAGGTAATTCCTTGAGTGGCACCTTGGTCATCACAAACTCTCCTTGAAACCAACAGATGGACTCCAAGAAAAGCCTATGGACATCCTTCAAATATGACTCAAGGCAACCATTAACCCATAGAGATTGTCATCAATTACCAAAACCAAACATGGGGACACCGCATGTTCTTTCAGCAATGTTCTTCAATGTGTTAGTAAAGAAGCTGAAAAAAAGGTCACAACAATGATGCAAAGGGAGTAACTCACTTTCAAAGGGCCCATCAATATTTTTTTGAACCATAAGCAGGCCCACATAGTATTCATATCTTAATCTTGCTTTGTCACATATGGAGCATTGGAGCCCATTAGCTTCTTGTGGTCCACGTGTTGTCCGGTATTATTCTTTTCAATGAGAAGGGACTACATGCCACCCGTTATCATCATGTTTACTCATGTATGCCTAAGAGAGCCATCCCAACTAACTTATTTATCTAAACATTCAAGTATGACATCTCACTATATAATTATGAATGGGATAAGACCCATCTCAACATGCAATCATGCATGAAAAAAGACTCACCACAAATATTCAACCGGAAAAATATTTTCTAATTAATTATTCTACTTATATTCAATAAATATTGTTACAACTATACATAATCAAATGTAATGAGTCATATGTACTCCCTCCGTCCCATAATATAATAACGTTTTTGACACTAGTGTAGTGTCAAAAACTCTCTTATATTCTGGGATGGAGGGAGTAGTATTTTAAATTTTGATTCTCATGTTATCAACCAAAGTTTTTCTCAGCCAATTACCACAGCAACGCGCGGGTATCCTCTAGTTTATATAGATCTGTGTTAGTAATTATCCATTCACCTTTTAACCTACAAGGAAACTGCTATAGTTGCCCTCTATGGTGGACATAGAGATGATTTGAGTGTGGCATATTTCAGGATAACTGTTTTACAGTGTGCACAAACATGACAAGACTTAGCAGTATTGACAATTGAGTAGCTAGTTCGGCAAAAATCTCTCAAGCAAGCAATAGCTCGCTCACTGATCTCACTTGTGAAAAAAGGGGCGACTTATTCACCAGATACCTAAAAACAAATACTCCGCTTCTTCTTCCTGCGCATGATGTTTTGCGTCCCACGCTGCCGATTATCGCCAGCCGGACTACCACCCCAGTGGCGTAGCCAGGCCCTAGGCTACAGGGGCCATGAGCCCATGACATTGGGCGTGGCTGCTCGATTATTAGTTGGCTGTAGCTAGAAAACACTATTTTGACACTGTTCAGTACTGTACAAAGGTTGTTGGCCCGCGGCGTGTTCCCAAGCTAGCTATGCAACTGACACGAGTGGATTTTTGAAACCCGGCTGTATTGGAGGATCTTATTTTAAATACTTTAAAAATCACATTTAAAAAAAAGACACTCGGTGACCGCACACAACTGGCACGACTGACATTCTTGTACCCACCCATCAAAACAGTGGCGCTGTTGTACCTCTATATAAACGTGATGGATCGTTCATCAGATAAGCTGCCACCAACCATTCATAACGTCGTGGTCACGGCCATGGCTTCCTCCTTCTCCAGACGCTTCCTATGCCTCCTTCTCCTCCTGGCCGTCTGCCTCCATGGCTCCCCCGCCACGTCCCGCCCGGCCACCGAGGGCACTGACCCGATGACGCTGTGGATGATGGAGCAGCGATTCCGGCGATGGAAGGCGGAGCACAACCGGACCTACGCCACCCCGGAGGAAGAACGCCACCGGCTCCGCGTCTACGCCCGCAACGTGCGCTACATCGAGGCCACCAACGACGACGCCGGCGCCGGGCTCACCTACGAGCTCGGCGAGACCGCCTACACCGACCTCACCAGCGACGAGTTCATGGCCATGTACACGTCGCGGGCGCCGCCCCTCTCCAACGACGACGACGAAGCGCCGATGATGATGATCACCACCCGCGCCGGCCCGGTCGACGCCGGTGGCCGCCGGCAGCAGGTGTACGTGAACGAGTCGGCCGGGGCGCCGGCGAGCGTTGACTGGCGAGAGAGAGGCGCCGTCACGGCGGTGAAGAACCAAGGGCAGTGCGGTACGTTACGCTACGCTACGTGGATGGTGGGCCGTCGCCATCCACGTATCCATCGTTCATTTCTTCCCTTGGTCTCCAATTATCGTCACCTCCTCCCTGTAAACACATGGCTGTCTGTAATCCACATGCTTGCATGTGCTCCTGCTGGCCGCTGCCTAGCTTAGCTAGCTGCTTCATCATTAGGGATCAGACAATTGCTCACTTAACTGTCATGCACACTGTTAATTGTCAACTTAGCATTATAGTATTAGACAGTTGGCCAATTTGCGGGGTCTCTTGTGGATGTATTCACACCTAATATGCAGGAAAAAAAAGCATTTCCTGGCAGGTGGTCCAGGGTTTGAAATTTCGAAAAGAAAAGTTTTTGGACCTTAACGAACTGACCGGTTTTCATTTTTTAGAAATTATTCAAATAACATCATCATAGTCTAAGGTTTTTATAATGAAAAGTTTAATTCATTTGAAATATACTTATAATTTTAAAATAAATATGTATATTACAGTGACCATCAATTTTTTTTGTCAATTTGAACCTTTTGATGGTCGATCATATGATTTGAGGAACAATATAAACACCTATCTAATTTCTCTTGCAGTCCTTATGTATGTTCTAAATTCATTATCTTTGACAGGATCATGTTGGGCATTCTCCACTGTAGCAGTGGTCGAAGGAATCCACCAAATCCAGACCGGGAAACTTGCCTCACTCTCAGAGCAAGAACTGGTGGACTGTGATAAGTTGGACCATGGTTGCAACGGCGGAGTGAGCTATCGTGCGCTGCAGTGGATCACTTCGAACGGCGGCATCACCTCCGAGGACAACTATCCATATACGGCAAAGGACGACACTTGTGACACCACAAAGCTTTCACACCATGTTGCTTCCATCTCAGGCTTCCAACGTGTGGCAACAAGGAGCGAGCTATCATTGACAAACGCGGTGGCCATGCAGCCTGTGGCGGTGTCGATCGAGGCTGGTGGGGCCAACTTCCAGCACTACAGGAATGGTGTGTACAATGGCCCATGCGGGACACGGCTGAACCACGGCGTCACAGTGGTCGGGTATGGGGAGGATGAGGTGACTGGGGAGAGTTACTGGATCGTGAAGAACTCGTGGGGTGAGAAGTGGGGCGATAGTGGGTACCTCAGAATGAAGAAGGACATCATAGACAAGCCCGAGGGGATCTGCGGCATCGCCATTCGGCCATCTTTCCCGTTCATGTGATGTGATCATGTGTGGTGTGCTTGGTTCATTGTTCTTTCCCTAGCAGACCAAAGCGTAGTCAACTTGTTATTACAAGTACAATACTTGTAAGGTATTTAATACATGCTTCTAAAAATGGGAGTATATTCAAACATTTGTGAATAATAAACATGGGAATTCCTTGAATTGTTCATGTGGATTCAGCATTTTAATGATTTTTCTATGAGCTTTTAGGCTTTTTAGTGGACTTGGGTGTCCAATAGGTCAAGTCAACTGTTTGGAATTTGTTGGAAGCTACATGTCGTACAGTGAGATTGATATGACTATAGCCCAAACCTAATAGCAATATCGCTGAGCCACTCCATTGCGTCATGCAAACAAGGTCCGAATGTCCATATCTACATAAAAGGCCCAAAAGGCCTAGATAAACTACCTCCCAAACTTGATACTGCGATGTTTTTAAAGGAAAATCCATCATGGCAATTTGTATTAATAGGGAATAGCAGTTACAACATCCACAAGAATAGTAAGCAAATAAGCTGGGGGTCACCCTACCAAACAACATCATAGTACCCCTCAACATGAGCAAGTTCATGTGCTGCCCTATTAGCCTTCCTATGAAAATGATTAAAAATAACACGTGTGAAGTTACAACAACGGAACGAACCTTGCTTTAATTGTTGTTTTTTGAATTTAACATTTTTGATAATTTTTTGTATGAGCTTTTGGGTTTTAGTGGATTTGAGTGCCAAGCATGTAAGGTCAATTTTCATGTGGCCATGTCTAGCCACAAATGCCCATGTAATTCTCCTTTCAGTACAGACTACACAAAATCTATTTATCGCCTATTGTGACTGCTAAGGGTGCATCACCTACAAGCGCCCTTGCGTGGGACAACCAATGATGGAATTATGGGGGAAACTGTTAATCAAGCATCTGAAAAATGTTAAATGTGTATCAGAAAAATGTTTCTCATGTATATAAATGGTCTACAATGTGTATGAAAAAGTTGATCATGTATTTAAAAATGTTAATTAAGCACTTCACTAAAATGTTAATCAAGTATTCCAAAAAAATCAATCAAGCATTTCAAAAACGTTAAATGTGTATAGAAAAAAATGGTTCTGAAGGATACAAAAAATATGCAATGTATAAAGAAATAAATTTGATCATGCATTTATAAATATTAACAATCATTTAAAAATTGTTATTCAAGTATTTGAAAACATGTTGATAAAGAATTTAAAAAGGTTAACTGTCTATAGAAAAAATGTTCCAATGTGCATTAAAAGAAGGTTGATCATGTACTTAAGAAATATTTAACATATATAAAGAATATAGTTCAGGTATACAAAAAATGTTAAGCATGTATAAAACAAAATCGATCATATGTGGAAAATTTAATTAATGGAAAAAATTCATACACAATTTAAAATTTTCATATACATCAGAATTGTTTAATCATGTTTACCAAATTTTAATATAGAATCATTTTTTTAAATATATGTTTTTAGGTGTCTAATTTTATTTAATTTAGGTTGTACATATTTTATGTATATCAGAAACGTTTCTTATACATGTTTAACATTTACAAAATACATGATCATCATTGTTCCATATAAACAAATAAAAATGAAGAATCCAATGAAAACAAAAAAAATAAGATAGCAAGTGAACTGAAAAACCCCCAAAGGAAACAACCAAAAAAGAATTAAAAACAGAAAACCAAAGAAAACCACCACAAAAATAATTAAAAACAGTAAAAACCATGTAGGAAACAGAGACAGTGAAGACAACCATTGAAAAACAAGAAAGAGACCAAAAACACCCAAAATAAAATGAAGAAAAAAAAGAAAGAAATGAAAAACTAACGATAACCGGTGGAGAAAAAGAAAACCAGCATAAAACGAAGAAAAAAAACCCAAAACAACATGTGAAGAAACAAACAAAAAAACACACGAGAAAACAAAGAAAGTTGAAGTATAAAAGAAAAGGACAACCTAAAAAAATGAAGAAACAAAAAAAATCATAGATAAACAGAAACAAACTGATAAGGAAAAAAATGAAGAGAACAAGCGAAGCGAGCGACAAAGGAACGTGCGAAAAATGGGCCGGTCTGTTACTGTAGCATAGATGATCCACATCGATCGAGAGAACCTTCTATCTCACCTGAGGCAAAATATAGCTCCCACGCAGTTTCTTGCACATCGATTTTTCCAGTTCTCTGATTATCTGGCTGTTTTCCAATCTCGGCTATTTCTGAATCTACGGTTTGTCTTGTTCAATGTTTGGCGTTTGTTGCTTTCTTATTTTTATTTTCTCTTTTGTTTTGTTTCTGGACTTTTAGTTATCATTTTTATCTATTTTTGTTTTCACCCTTTTCCATTGCTTTCCTTTTGTATTTCCCCCCTTTTTCGAATTTTAGTCAATTCTTCCTTTTTTCTGACAAATTAATGAATAATAATAATAATAATAATAATAATAATAGTAATAATAATAATAGTAGTAATAATAATAATAATAATAACAATTTATCTCATATGCCTTGGGTATTCATGAATGTTCGCCATGTAATTAAAAATATTTATCATGTATTAAAAATGACTATAATTTATTTTGAAAATATTTGTCATGTATGGAAAACAATATCCATTATGTATTTTAAAAAGTTAAGTGTATTAATAAAGCCATCATCCAGATTTTAAAAATAGCAATTCATTATGTATTTAGAAAGTATGTAATGTTTAGTAAAAAATATTTCTGTTTATTAAAAATCTCCGTGTACTTTGAAATTTTTCACGGTTTATTAAAAGGATTAGGTTTGTCTTAAAAGTATATATTCAAAATGAACATTGTGTATGAAAAGATTTTTGATCATTTATTTAAGCAATATTAATCATCTATAAAGAATGTAGTTCAGGTATACAAAAAATGTAAATATGTATAAAACAAAATTGATCATATGTGGAACATTTAATTAATGCAAAAAAACTTCACACACAATTTACATTTTTCATATATATCCGAATTTTTTATACATGTTTAACATATTTTAAATATCAAATTGACTTTTGTAAATCTTATTTTTTGGCGTCTACTTTAATTTAATGTATGTTGTACATTTTTATGTACCACATAAATGTCTCTTTCACACGTTTAACATTTGAAAAATACACTACCATCATTCTTCCATATAAACAAAATAAAAATGCAGAATCCAATAAAAATAGAAAATAAAAAAGCAAGTCAACAGAACATAAGCACCAAAGGAAACCACCAAAAAAGAATGAAAAACAAAAACCAAAGAAAACTACCACAAAAAGATTTTAAAACAGCGAAAATCGAGTAAGAAACAAAGAAAATGAAGAAAACTGATGAAAAACAAGAAAGAGAAAAAAAACCAAAAGAAAATGGACAACAAAAGAAAGAAATGGGAAAACCAAATAAAACTGGTGAAGAAGCATATAAAAATGAAGTATACCAAAGAAAAAAGGAAAACCTAAAAGAAAAGATGAAGAAACAAAGAATATTGAAGTATAAAAAAAGGGAAAACAAGAAAAAACCATGGAGAAACGAAGAAAACCATAGAAAAACAGAAACAAACTTAATAAAAAACTGAAGTGAACAACCAAATTGATCGACAAGGAAAAAGCTGTCAACGTGCGAAAATGGGCTGGCCTGTTACTGTAGCAAAGAGCATCAAGCGAGATAACATTCTATCTCGCGTGAGAAAGTACAGCTTTTGCGCATTTCTTTCACATGGATTTCTTGAGCTCTCCGATTATCCGGCTATTTCCTAATCTCGGCTATTTCCGAAACTAGAGTTTATCCGGTTCAATGTTTGGCTTTGTTCCTTTATTATTTTGATTTTCTCTTTCATTTTGTTCTCAGTCTTTTACTTTTCAATTTTATTTATAGTTGTTTTCACCCTTTTCCATTGCTTTGCTTTTGTATTTCCTTCCCCCTTTCCGAATTCAGATCCATTTTCCCTTTTATTTATTTTTTGTCAAATTAATGAGTTATAATAATTTTTTTTTCTAATACACCTCGTATATTAATGAATGTTCTCCATGTATATTTTGAAAATGTTCATCTTGTCTGCAAAACAATAATCATTATATTCTTTTAAATTTTTTATTGTATTAATAAAACGATTATCCAGAATTTAAAAATAGCACGCTGCTCATAAAAAATTCATTACGTATTTAAAAATAGATATTGTGTATTGAACATATTTACTGTTAATTAAAAACAATCTTCATGTACCTTTAAAAATGTTCACAGTTTATTAAAAAAGATTAGGCTTATCTTAAAAATATATTCAAAATACATTGTCAGAATATTTATAGTGTATTTTTAAAACTTTTAGCATTATTTAAAAGACTTGTATCTTATATACATTATTGTTTATTGATATTTTATCATCATTTACGAAATTTTGATCGTGTTCTGAAATGTGTGTATTAGAAAACTAGATCATGTTTTTTTTTCAATTTGTGAGCAATCTTTTTAAAATTTCATCACCATTTTAGAAAGAAGTTTATACACAAGTTGGAATATTTTCTTTTTGGTCTATGTGTGTGAGAATGTTCAGATAGTTGTAGTCAATAACAAACTGGCCCATTCTTATCTAGGAAAAACTAACTCGAGTGCGCTAGTGATTTTAAATCCTATTATAAGTAGTACAAGTCTTCTTTTTAGCATGCTGTTAGGCTTCGCCTGGTCAGGATCCAGATCGATGGCCTTCTAGTCACACGATCGAAGTCAGTCGTCTCACAAGAATAAATAGAATATCTGCCTATATTTTTAAAACTTGTTTTAAAAGGTAAGAAAAGGAAAAGAGTGAAAAAAGGTACTCCAATACTGAAATGACGCTCGATCTGGGAGGTGCCGCATCGAACGAATCATTCGCTGGAAGGACTGATCAATTGAATGAAGAACAATCATTGTGGCAACCAGTCCAAATCAAATAAAACAAATTCCCTGGTCGATATTTTTGCTGGCCTATCTAACACATATCC